CTGCAATACCAGGCCGATGCTTGGAGTGGACGGAGCAAGCCCCTATTCCATCTCCCAGTTCCAAAAATCCATTTAATATGTAGTCCTCAAATAGAGGACATATCAGATATTAAACTGATAAGAACAGATACTACACTTGATCTTAGCCAAAAGGCCGAGAAGCGATACCTGAGACAGGCGGACGGGGCCCGAGACTCCCATGCGGGGGATCCTCCAGTTTACGGGGAGCACGACCGGGTTGCAAAGAGATCCTAGTTTCAGATCAGTGGATCGATTCTACCCGGCTCTATGCCTGGGCTGGACTGCAACGGCATTTCCTGTGGGCCGATTTGGGGGTGAAAATGGGGGGTTCTCTCCCCACTGAGTGTTTCCCATCATGCCACCTGGCTGTCCCGGCGGCCGTTGGTGGATCATTTGCATAGGGTGAGCCACCCTCTCTGTCACTCTCCTCCCCTGTCATTCCTCAGCTGGCCGAGGGGGGCACTGGCACCCCCCCTTCTCCGCCTGCACAACGGGCCTGGAGAGCGGAGATGGGCTGGGGGGGCTGGGCTGCTTCCCACCCAACTCTGCTGCGGCATCTCCCAGACACGACCCGCCAGCCCAGCCTGATGGGCACAGATGTCCCCCCCCCCCCCCCCCCCGGCAGCTGCAGTTGAGCACCACAAGGGCAATTCAGGCCCAAACATCCATGCCACCTTTCTGGCTCAGTGGGGTCCTGAATTACGGAGGGAGTGTTTGCAGCAGGGCAGGGAAGAGAAAGCAGGAAGGAGGAAAGAAAGAAAGAAAGAAATTAAGAAAGAAAGAAAGAAAGAGAAAGAAAAAAAAGGGAGGGAGGGAGGGAGACAAGAAAGAAGGAAAGAGGAAGGGAAGAGACAACAAAGAAAAAAGGAAGTGGAACAAAGACAAAGAAGGAAAGAGGGAGGGAGGGAAGGAGACAAGAAAAGAAAAAGAAAGGAAGGAGAGGAAGGGAAGGAAGGACAGAACGAGGGAGGGAGGGAGGAAGAAGGAAAGGTCCTGGGAAATACGCCAGGTTAATTTGTCATCTATTCCAATGTTCCAGATGTTGGATTCAAATGTGGTTGTAAGTTGAGGACTACTTGAACTGCATTAAGAGTCAGTTTGGTCATATAATTTAAGGCAGGGGTGTTAAACTGGCAGCCCGTGGGGCGGATGCATGTGCACCCCAGCCCCACAAAGGCAAAAAACATCAGGATTCGTGATGTGATGCTATTGAGTTTGACACCCATGTATTAAGGCAGTGGTTCTCAACCTTTTTAATGCCGCGACCCCAACCGGTCGTAAGTCGAGGACTAAACCGGTTGTAAGTCGAGGACTACCCAACTGGTCGTAAGTTGAGGACTTTCCCTGGCCGGGAGCGCCGCACATGCGTGGTTCCGCCCCCTGCGCCGGCCGAGGCGTAGCTGGCAAGCGGCAGAGACGGAGCAGGCCGACCACCAGCTGGCCCAGCTCAAGGGAGGTAAGGCACCCGCCGGAAAAGGAAAAAAATGGCGGACAAAAAAATTGCTGACAGCCTTGCTTGGCGACCCCCGTGAAATGGTCGATCAACCCCAAATGGGGTCCCGACCCACAGGTTGAGAACCACTGTATTAAGGTATCAAACTAGTAAGTGGGAGGTGGTGAGTTCTAGTGCCGCCTTAGGCATGAAAGCCAGCTGGGTGACTTTGGGCTAATCACCAGGAGACGGCGAGTTCTAGTCCCATCTTAGCTGTGAAAGCTGGCTGGGTGATGTGGAGCCATTCCTCTCTCCCAGTCCAGTCCAGCTCACAAGGTTATTGTGTGGGGAAAATAGGAAGGTGTATCGGATGCGTTTACCCCCCCCCCCCGAGTTATTTATAAAAATAAAGGCAGGATATGAATAAATTAATTTTCTTTTCTCAACTGTAATATCCAAGGAGTGTTAAAAGCTGCTGGCTTTATTCCCTGAGATGGCAGCTGTATTGTCCAAGTAATAAACCAAAATTAGTGCTTTGCGTGTAAGCAAACACAAAAACCCCTTCCATTATGCGCCAAGCTGCTAATTTACTCGCTACAGTTTTTATGTTTGCTGTCCAGAAAACCCAGCCACTGAAACAGCAGTTTAAATGTGTTGTAATTTATCCAGCAGAAACTCGAGCTTTTCAAATGCAATTTATTATACAGAAACAAAAGGGGGGGGGAAGTATTTGCCCATAACAGAAAACAATCCACATAAAAGGAAACTGAAGCTGCCTCAATTTAGGAATTATAATTTAACTAGATTAAACTGGGCTTTAATTTAAACTGTGAATCAGGGTTATACACCAGAAAAACTTTGATTCTCAAATTATATTCAACCATCAGTAGATGCCAAATTTAAATGCTGTAGGATGCCATTTTTAAAAAGATCAGTAAATCAGTAAAGATCAGATTTACTGATCTTTTTAAAAATGGCTTATCACCTTTTTTAAAAAAAAGAGAAAGAAAAATGTACATTATTGGTAACAGCTTTAACTCGAAAAGTACATATAGGAACTGGCAAAGAAATACATCAAATTAATTCACTGGAGATATTTTTCC